TTATTAATTAAATATTTATTTATTTTATTAATTAAATATAATGATGTTACAATTATATAATTAATGGTCACATATACATAATTAATTGATCACAGATTATTTTTGAAGTCACAAATCAAAAAATTTATAGGTCACGATTTTTTTATTGGTCACAGATCAAAAATTTTGTAGGTCACGAATTATTTCGAAATCACAAATTTAAAATTTTATAAGTCACAAATTATTTTATTGATCACGGATCAAAAAAATTATATATCACAGGTCATGTGTTTTCAAATTTGTTGGTCACATGTTCTTTTTTAGTTACAAATTATCAATTTTAAAGTCAAAATTCAATAATTAGGTCACAGACACCAACAAGAACTACCACTGCCGTTGACCACGCCACAACACTGCCTAGTCAGATCCACCATCGCAGCCGCCACCACCTTACCATCACCACATACATAATCGTTGACATTGGCAAAACAACCACAACCACCGCCATTTTCAACCACCACTACTTCACAGACCAACCATAATGCACCGCACACATCAATCACCACCGCAATGTCAGTCATCACCACTACTTCACAGACCAATCATATCGCACCGCACACATCAATCACCACTACAATGTCAGTCACCACCACTCAAAAATGAGGAAAAAAATAATGGATATGCATTCCCAAGTCCCGAACTGTAGCCAATGCCGGATAATTGATCTGCACACTCAAAAATTCAAATCGTCGTAGCCGACGTTCAAATCGCGTGACGCTCACATCAAGCAGGTTGTTGTAGCGGCGCTGTAGCGATGACCATCTTGAGCGGTGGTGCGGCGTCTTCGCATCGGTTGCGACGCTGCTGCTTCCGAGCGACGCGCCTTAGAGAGGTGGTGGTGTCGTCTTTGCAACAATCCGACGGTGGGTGTTGCGTTTCATACTGGCGATGGCGGCTACAGTGGCTGGGGAGGTAGGCGTAGGGGAGAGAGAAAGAGAAGACACAGTTTTGGCCTTTGGGGGGAATTAATTAGGGTTGAGATAAAAATTATTTAATTAATATTTAATATATAAATATAAAATATCTGATTTTTGAAATATTAAACTTTCCACCTGATTTTAGAATATTGAATACTTAAAGTAGGGATTTGTGTAATTTTCACGTACTTAAATTACCACATTATATATTATATAACCATATATAACTAAAGTGTAAAATGGCCAAAGTGATTACTCGACATGTTAGACTTAACCACAGTATCATTATGAGCCATACATCTAACACATTTTATAAAACATAAAATTTGCAATTATGGGAAGCCCACATTTTTGAAATTATTCTAATTCTAACCGTACAATGGCCACAATTTCGTATGTCAGATAGATAAAAAATGACATTATTTTGTGAACAATATAGCGATACAATAATTTAATTGTATAGCATCACTAATGACGTATTAACTTTATGTATATACTTGAATATGGATTGTCACATATAACTTTTAGTATGTATCTTGTATTGTTTACAAGAAACAACACATATACGGTCAGAGAACTCTAATAAAAAATATTAAACGATTTAAATATACGTTTATGAATTCCAAATGTCTCCTTCCCGTGACATGTAGGATGGTGGTTGTGGCATATATGTGGCAAGTAGAATGGAGATTGTTTTCGAAAACACGTGGAGGAAATTATAAATCAATGGAGCTATGATTTTTCCTTTTTCTTGTTTTCAGAGACGTTAAAATGGTGAAGACATTAATGACATTCAAATTTTTAGAAAAGAAATATAAAGAGAGAAAAAAAATTAATTATCCTTTAATAACTACCAACTCAGATCACATTCTTATGTTATATAAATTCATTCTTATCATTTTTCTTATAAAAATCTTGAATATAAAAATTTTCTCAAACTTCGATATTTTTGAAAATGTAATTTTAATGTAAGGTAATTACGATTTTTTCCGTTAAAAAATATTTCTACAAATTACTACAAACAAGTTTAGTGGGCTTGGTATTGTGTCGAGAATTGGGTCAAACCAAATGTGGCCCATCTTCACTACTCGTCGACCTTTTTTTGAATTGGGTTGGGCTAGAAGCCTTATTTTTTCCAGGCCGAATTGGAAGATTGGACCTATGGCTGATTAACCCGTGAATCGGTCTGAACCAAGCTGGACCCATTTCGATATGATTATTCACATTATGCAATAAACACGTAAACCTAATTCGACATAAGATCGAATATACCTTAAAAATACACAGCTAAAAAGCAAGAAGATAATAATTAATGTGTTGTGCTATGGGTACATAAGTGTACCCATACCCGACGCCCCCCTATTGGGGGGACGCCTAGCATTTTCCATAATTAATATAGTGGAAGCATCAACTTGATCAAATTTATCTATTGGGTTTGACTCAAAAGCTAAAGAAGAAATTAAATTTCGTTTGAGAAAGACAAGAAGCAACCTCGGATTCTAGAAAAGTTGTCCTTGCTTAAAGATTAAAAATATTAAGCAAAGTCTGTTCTTATAGAATATTTAGTACATGATTGAGATTAAAAAAGTAAGCCCATATACTTTAGGAAGAAGAGGACACCAATCCATATGCAATTTGTTTAATTTTAATTTATAGAACAATTGATTATTTCCATGCATCAATCCTCATTCCAAGAATTTTGTCTTTTTCATGCACATTCAAGTTCACACGTGTACATGTATATATACATGGTGAAAATATACGCTTTTTTTACTTTGTCATCGGTAGAATTCTTGTGTATTGCACTCTAGTCGTTCAATTATAGTACAAGTGAGAGATTCACAGTTTGATCATGTACTGCGTTGGTTAAATGATTAGTCCAATCAGTCGATACAAGTGACATCTCATGCCAATTGGTTATGTATACATCTTTTTGTAAACTCAAGATAGTTCCCTAGTTTATAATCGTACCAAATGTCCTATCGCTACTGGCCAATAAATTCACTATAGGAAAATTTGTAATGAATTTTGTTGTTGTCGATCAAAAAAATCATTAGGATTATTTGAAGATTCTCCTTGATTAAAAGATCTTTCTTGTCGAAGGGAAAGTAAATGTCAGCTCGACACCTTGACTTAAGACCCGTCAATTGAGATCAAAATCAAACTATAGGACATCAAGCTATATAGAAACATTATCATTACATGACAGAAGAAATGCCCTCTTGATATAAGCACCGCCAAACCAACTAATCAGGAAGATGGCGTGATGACCTAGAACACATGTCTAAAGTCTAGGTATCATGATGATTCCATTGCAGTTGAGTTCACCAGCCAATCAGGTACCATCGGAAGGGATGATAACACGCAACTCGAGATCGAAA